AGTCTGCCAAGGAAAGTTGTTTCGCTCTCACCAACTGCCGCTGCCCGTCTGGAACCACGATTGGCCAAACCGACTCGCCTACGCGACGCAAGCTGAACGTCACGGTGCTCATTGAAGGAGCTCCATGTGACATGGAGATCGACACCGGGTCTGCCCTGTCCATCGTGTCATGGAGCACCATCAAAAGACTGGTACCCAGAGTGTCCAAAAGGCAACTCGACTCTCACCGCGTACACCTGAGAGACTACCAGGGAAACGACATTCCCGTGGTAGGCGTTGGCCGGTTCCGGATCGCCTTCAAGGATTTTTCGGGCCTGCTCCGGTTGGTGGTGGTCGAAGGTCAGCGGCCAAGCCTCCTAGGGCTAGACTGGTTTGATGCCCTCGGCCTGGAAGTCACCGGCATCAACTGCATCTCTAACGCAGAGACTGAGGGTCTGGTCAAAGACTTTGCCGAGGTTTTTGACGGCACCTTGGGCCAATATACAGGTACGCCCATCTCCTTTAGCCTTGATCCACAAGTCGCCCCCATCAAGCTAAAGCCACGCCGGGTTCCCTTTGCTCTCAAGGCTAAGGTGGACAAACAACTGGACAAACTGATCGCCCAAGGAGTTTTGGAGCCGGTTGACCACGCAAAGTGGGAAACCCCCATCGTCACGCCTGTCAAGCCAGATGGGTCGGTGAGAATCTGCGCTGACTACAAGTGCACGATCAACAAGGCACTTCAGCAGCACGCTTATCCGGTTCCTGTTGTCCAACACCTGCTGCATTCCCTGGGTGAGGGTAAGGTCTTCGCTAAGCTGGACCTTGCCCAAGCCTATCAACAACTGCCAGTCGATGATGCCACTGCTGAAGCCCAGACGATCGTCACCCACCGGGGGGCATTCCGTTGCCGCCGGTTGCAGTTCGGGGTGAGTGTGGCTCCTGGCATCTTCCAAAGCCTTATGGAGCGTCTCCTGCAAGGGCTTCCGGGCGTGGTACCATATTTTGATGACGTCTTGGTGTCTGCAGACTCACACCAGCAGCTGTTCGAGCGCCTCCGTGCCGTGCTGACCAGGTTCCAGGAGGCCGGGCTCAAGGTAAAGAGGGAGAAGTGCCAGATCGCCGTTCCACAGGTAGAGTTCCTGGGCTATCTTATCGATGCCTCCGGTCTTCATCCAACCACATCCAAGATCCGCGCTATCCAGCAGGCCCCCACTCCAAAGAACAAAACGGAGTTGCAGGCGTTCCTGGGGCTGCTGAACTTTTATAACATGTTCCTGCCCCACAAAGCCACAGTGGCTGAGCCTCTTCACCGACTCCTTAGCACTAAGACGCCTTGGGCCTGGGGTCATCGGGAGACGGCGGCCTTCAACGCGGTCAAGGCTCTCCTTTCTTCAGACAGTGTGCTGGTACAGTACAGTGAATCCAGGCCGCTGGTCCTTGCCTGCGACGCCTCACCTTTTGGCATCGGTGCTGTCCTTAGTCACCGTTTTCCAGATGGAAGAGAAGCACCGCTCGCCTACTTTTCCAGGACACTATCTCCGACGGAACGGAATTACAGCCAGCTCGACAAGGAGGCATTGGCACTTGTGGCTGGAGTGAAGAGGTTCCATGAATACCTCTATGGCAGGACTTTTGACCTCATCACTGACCACAAGCCACTCCTGGGCCTCCTCGCCGGTGATCGTCCAACTCCACCGGTCCTCTCACCACGCATGCTGCGATGGACTGTTTTCCTGGCTGCCTACCACTACCGGCTCATCCACCGCCCGGGGAAATCGATGGGCCATGCCGACGCCCTCAGCCGTTGCCCTCTTCCAGCATTTGTGGAAGACCCGGCTCCAGCTTCATCGCTCCTTCTGATTGAGGATCTTCCGGCAGCGCCTGTATCGGCTGCCACTGTGGCCTCCGCATCTGCCCAGGATCGCACCATCAGCCGGGTGCTCAACTGGGTGTGGAGGGGGTGGCCACAAGGGCCCTTTGCATCGGAGTTCCAGCCCTTCGCAACCAGACAACACGAACTTTCAGCTCATCGCGGCTGTCTGCTGTGGGGAGACCGCGTCGTGATTCCCCAGGGACTCCGTCAGCGCGTCCTGGAGGCTCTGCACGTTGGCCACCCGGGAATTGTCAAAATGAAGGCGTTGGCTCGGTGTTACGTCTGGTGGCCTAATATGGACGATGCCATCACTGCCTGGGTGTCCGCCTGTCAAGCGTGCCAGGAGTCGAGGCCTGCACCACCGGCAGCTAAGGGACACACCTGGGAGACGCCAAAGACACCCTGGTCGAGGGTGCACATCGATCTGGCTGGCCCCTTTCACGGCCGGACTTTTATGGTAGTGGTGGACGCCTATTCCAAATGGCTGGAGGTCGCCCTGATGCCCTCCACCACTACCGAAGCTGTCATCCGGGTGCTGCGAGGCCTGTTTGCAACGCATGGGTGTCCTGATGTCCTTGTCTCTGACAACGGACCGCAGTTCACGTCAGGCACGTTTGAGCGGTATCTTTTGGGACTGGGCATCCGCCATGCCCTAACGGCACCCTTTCATCCGTCCAGCAACGGGCAAGCGGAAAGAATGGTGCGCTCGACAAAAGAGGCACTGGCGCGCCTGGACCGGGGAGACTGGCATGAGCGGGTCGCCGAATACTTGTTCGCGCAACACATCACCCCTCATGCGGCCACAGGGAGGAGTCCTGCGGAACTGCTTATGGGCCGCCGCCTCAGGTCACCGCTCGACCGGCTACACCCAGACTTTGCCGTGGCTGAACCCCCAGGCTGTGCCAACGCACCACGGTCATTTGTCCCAGGAAACCAGGTCTTTGCCCGGAACTATGTGGGGGACATCCCTTGGGTGCCAGCCACAGTAGTGGGAGTCACTGGACCTCGCTCGTACCAGGTGGCACTCGAAGACGGACGCTTGTGGCGACGGCACATAGACCAGCTTAGGCGCAGGGTTGGGGACTTGGACACTACCGAGGTGCCCCCAACTCCGCTTGCGGCTCCAGAAGAGACACATACAGATGGCGAGGCCCCACCTACACCTCCCTCGCAAACTGCCAGCGTGGAGCCGAACCAAGCCGTTTCAGAACAGACTCAGACCACTCCACTTGCGGAGGCTCCACTCACAGCAGCGGATCCAGGGGAGTTGGTTCCAACGCCACCTAGGGTCGCACCACAGCCTCAGCGAGAACTGTGTGGCCCTCCGGACTTGGCTACCAGTCCCCGGCGGTCTGGCAGAGTTTCCAAGCGCCCAACTCATTTAAAGGACTATGTTGTTGGTCAGGTATCACTGTTGGTCTAAGTATGGGAAATGTAACCGATATGCTTTTGTGCCTAATTGAACCATTACGCGTAGTGCTGTATATAAGGAAACCAGTACGATTGTAACTAACGCCTTATCTCGGTGGGGAGGGGTGTTATGTAGTGTAGTTTCACCCTGGGCCAACAGGGGGATACTGTATATAGTTTTCACTCAGGTCTGTAGATAGTTTTCACTCAGGTCCGCGCCAGTTATTTTAGGCGGGAACTCTGGGCTGGTGTGGTTACAATGTTGACAGCCGGCTGCCTATAAATACAGGCCGGCTGAGCTGTTCGCAGTCAGTTCTATTCCAGCTTACCAGAATAAAGAGCTACTTGAAGAAATCGCGGTGCCGGCTGCTATGTCAACCCACGACTTAACATTGACATTATCTGATGTCCACTGAGTACCTCCTAAGCCCCCTGCCTCCCCCTCCCCATCTTCAGCTTGTCCCAGTGGGTACCAATCCTGGCTACACCCCTCGCTAGGATCCTCTTCACCTTCCTCGGTGTCCTGCCAGTTCATGACGCCATGGCTGTTTAAAGTGGTGTGATACTGCTTTGAATATAAAATATAGATGAGTTCAGAATCATGCCTTGCCTTTTTATCATCTATGCAGAGGTAGCTAAACTCTGGCCTGATCTGGACCCTCCAACGAAGCTTTTGGAGGCCCCAGGACCCCACCAATTTTGGCAGTAGTGGGGAAAAAATAAAAAATGGACACAGTGTGTATTGCTTCCTTATTAGATTCTCTTATGTACTTCTTTTATCATAATAATCCCAACTTGGTTTCTATACAATAAAAGATTGATAAGAGAAGATAATATGCGGCTGAAAAAAGTAACAATACATAAACAATTTCATGATATGTACTAACAGTACTAGAGAGATCCAGGTATAGAAAAATCGGAATGAGAGGCAGTTTGGTATAGTAATATTAGCAGGATTATTCCACCCCGTGGCCTCTATTTGTGGCCGCTGGGCCCCAGGTCAGGCCATGTGTCCTGCTTGTACCAACCTGAGAACAACGCCCCCTGCCCTGGGTCTGTCTCCAAAGCAATCCAGGGGGTGCAACCAGTGGCGTAGCGTGGGGGGTGCAGGGGGGGCCGGTCGCACTGGGCGCAACATCTGGGGGGGGCGCTCACACTCGCAGCTCTCTGCCCCTACCTGGCTCACTCACTCTCTCTCACTGCAGAGCCGGCTGTGCGAATCCGATCCGAGCCGCCGGGTCGCCACCCACTGTGGGGGGGGGGTGCCAGGCGTGCGGTTAGGGGGCGCAATCCATGGGTTAGGGGGCGCAAATTACTTGCCTTGCCCCGGGTGCTGACAACCCACGCTACGCCGCTGGGTGCAACTCAGGAGGAGGGTAGGGCTTGTGTGCCTCTGAGTGTGAGAATAAGGGGTAGCCACACCCACTTTTAGCCACACCCATTGCTATCATGTGCCCATCTCCAAAGGGTGCCCAAGGGTAGATGTGACCCTCAGGCTCAAAGGGGCCTATTCTTGTTCCACATTAACCTTTCTCAACCTTAGGTCCCCATATGTGGTTGAAGTACAACCAGCATGGCCATGGGGCTGGAATGAAGTGAATCATAATCCAGCCACACCTGGGAAGCCAAGGTTGGGAAAGGCTGCTCTAGATAATGTTTTCTCTCTATGTACAAACTCATAGTCTTCCATTTTGTTCACTCAACCAGTCATCCCTTAGCACTGAGACATTCCCCCCTCCCCCCGCAATCTCCATAGATTTATCAGTCTTATCATTTGCAGTTAAACCTTTTTCAAATAACAAAAGGCTCCCCAATGGGTGAACACTTCAAATTAAGTTGCAAGAGACTATAAACTATGACTGCAGCCATCTGCATTTGTTTTGCACGATTCATTACTTTCAACTGCGTGACCTCATCTCTCAAGCAGTTGCTGTGAAACACAGTTGCTCGAAAAAGTCATGTGTGCATATAATAATGGCAGGAGCCGTTCCGTTCTTCATGTTGGTCCTACAATAGCACGTCCAGGAATCAGCTGGGCAGTGCACATAACCACAACCTGTGGTTCTTGCAGCAATTATTTGGCTAAAGCAGGGAGAGAACGCTTTTAATTATGGCAACCAGAGGACCTGCTGGTGCAATTAAAAATTCCTGGCCAAATTATCAGTAATCCCTTAACCTAGAAATTCTAAGTGTCAGAATTCATGACTCATGAGTTGTATTAGCTTAGTTATCTAATTGCAATAGCTCTGCACCCATTGTGGGCTACTAACAAACTTACATAACAAAAAAACGGTGATTGCCTTGAGGACAAGATGTAATTTAGATTTCACCCACAGGGGAGATATAATCTTACTATATTCAAAAGTGGGTCTTTGACTCTTTCTGTGAAGGCATCATTTTCTCTTCTACTCTGTATTTGTCAGATGTTGTGTTGGTTCTGTTCTGCTGCAGGTCATCTGCCATCAAAAACTACATTATTTGTCTCACTACCCATTGTGGTGAAATTATGTAAGTTTTATAATTTATGTCAATAATTATGTTAATTGCCTTCCAATAGAAGTTTAAATCTAAAATTTTAGTTTTTCATCTCATCACATTTTTGGCTTTGAGGGTTTGAAATTTCCCAAAAAAAACCACACAACCATTTTGGCTTTGTCAGGCTACAGAAAAACCTTAAAGGCTCAGGCCAGCATTGAGATACGTCAAAACTAAAAACACCAATCTCTTCAGAACTTCATGGGCTTTAATATGATATGCTACATAATGGACTTACTTTAAAATTTAAACTTTTTCTCTAAACTAAAACATCCCAAATGGTGCAACCTTTCCCCACAGGTTTACCCGTATTTTTCGCTCCATAAGACACACCAGACCATAAGACGCACCTAGTTTTTGGAGGAGAAAAACAAGGGGGAAAAAAATTCTGAATCCCAGAAGCCAGGACACCAAGCGGGATCGCAGCTCAGCTCCCTGGCTTCTGGGATAGCCGTGCGCAGCCTCTCCCCGGCAGCGGGATGAAGGCTCCTGTTGCCCGGGAGAGGCTGTGTGTGGCTAAGGCTCCCCCAAGAGCCGCGCTCCCTTTAAAGAGCGTGTGGAGCGTGTGTGCGGCTCTTGAGGGCTTTTCCCCGAGGAGGGAGAAGGGCTCCACATGGCTCTTTAAAGAGAGCACTGAGCAGAGTCTCCCACCTTCATTCGCTCCATAAGACACACACACATTTCCCCTTACTTTTTAGGAGGGGGAAAGTGCATCTTATAGAGCGAAAAATACGGTATATGGACCAATATAAACTTCTGTTTCCACATTTGTATGGAAGTAAGTTCATTAGACTTGCAGAATCCAAATAATGTGCTTACAGTTCAAATGGAAAATTGTGAAGCTTGTGCTAGACTTATTTTCATCAAGATGTGGGAAATGGTCGATTTGGATGTTTGGGTTGTGAATTTCAGCTTTCTGAAAGTGACAATCATTGCAGGGCAGCCTTATTAAAGCCAATAGGAGGCTTTGGTTGGAAAAATGGATTGCTGGCATAATGAGTTACTCAGATTCCCCCCCCCCCAGGTCATTTTGTTTGCTTCTGCATCCTCTTGCCATCGAATGCATTTTTTTCCAGAGCCATCTCAAAGGTTTTCTCTGTTCTGCTACAGTGGAAGAATTGATTCATTTGTGAAGGGAAACTTCGGCGGGGGCAGTGGGGGGGGGACACAGCAAAAGACAGATATATCTATATTTTGCTAAAAATACCTTTTGGTTCAAACCACAAACAGCACATTGACAGTGCTAAAGTGATAATGTCGTAAGACAGAGGGAATCATTTTCAGTGTGTTCCAAATTCAATTTCGTTTGTGGCCTCTGTGCTTTATTTCATGTTTAGAACACTGACATTACATGATTCCAGCACCTTAATTATTTCATTTACTGGGCTTTGCATTATGAGTAATGTGCGTAGCATGTAACGTGTGTTGTTTATGTGGTGCATATTTCATTTAGACTTTTCTTCTGGTTGGCTATAAACATCTGGTCTGCAAAATGCTGATGAAATGCACAGCTCTCTCTCTCTCTCAGTTTACCCTATATGTTGGTGTTAAGGGCACCTGCTGAACTGGAGATGTGGAGTGTGATCAGCTGTTATTGCTAAGCAGAAACCAAACAAAATGGTGGTCCATGCCTTTTCCACCTGGGAAAAGACCATAGGGAAGTAGTAAGATATCCATTTGTTGGTGAGCTATAATTCTCATCATTCTTGATCATTGGCCATGAGGCTGATGGTAGTTGTAGTCCAACAACATCTGGAGACCCAGGGTTAGGACGGTCTTAGCTAGTCCAAATATAACTGCACCTTAACTATGTGTGATGTCCTTATTTCATTCAAGAACAATAGCAACCACTTAGACCAATAATCTCGTACCTTCTGTTCTGATTGGGGTTCCCTTGCCACCCTCGGTTCCACTAGAGTCTTCCTTCACATTTCCATCTTTTGAGATCCAACAAGATCTGGGACCAGACCAGGATTAGAATAATATATTTTAATGTTCTGTGGTTTATTTACTGAGAGTACAGCCAAATAAATATATGGAAAAATAGGGTGGAGGGCAGGAAGCGAATTAGTGTTAATGGATATATGTCCATTTATATGTAGATAATAATTTGACATGTACCATAGCGGGAGTCTGGGGAGCAGAGGGACTAGGAGAGCATTAAACGGAAACTAGTGCTCACATCCTCCATCTCAGCAGCCCTTGAATGAGAAGCTTCCACTGGCACAGTTCTAGCAATTTCAATTATATGCTACTCTGGCAGAATCAACTTATTGGGAGACTCCAATAACTAGAAGACTCCCTGGGAAATCTTCCATTGGCTTTACAGTGATGATGCCAGATCTCTATGTACATACATGTGTAGAATGAAGTGCAGATTGTTCAGCCTCTTGTACTCATAGGATTGTAATTCTCAGACAGTGAATTATAGAGACAGTGTGCCTATGTTTATAGCCTCTTGGTGAGTAGCGTGGAAAGAGATACAAGAAACCAAGGGACTGCTGCCTGTGTGTTACCTTATCCACAAGAGATGCTGCTTCTGCACTGCAGAACACCATGCCCAGCAGGTGTGTTCAGTGCATACCACCACCTGGAGAGCACTTCCATCACATTATGAGATGTTCCACTCATCAGGTGTGCAAATTCTGCCCATCTTCATTACTGTTACTCTTCCAAGACTTGAAGGCAGATTGTCTGAAGTAGAGAGATTGCATGTACTCATGTAGACTCTGTGCACAATGCACAACTCTAATTTTCCATGTATATCCCTCATATTACACAGTCATCCTTCTGCTCACCGAAGGTGGTGGGGATGAGGTCAGAGCTAGCACACTCATCCCTGCTTCCTTTCTCTCAGATATTGTATTCCTAGGTCAGAGGAACAGCTGAAGAGGCCTATTGTTTAGGTTGCAACAGATAAGCCTGAGTAGACATGGGGAAAGTTGACACATGGGTTTGTTGCAGGGCCTGGTCCCTGTGTTTATGTCTTTGTTATCTGCCCTGTTGTTGCTGGTTGAGTGACTGCTTTAAGTTTGGGGACTGTCTGTAAGCACCAAGAGGCCTACCACTCAAGGCCTGTGAGAGGCAAGTGTCATTGTCCAATATGAGCTGTAGATTAGAAATTCCTTCCAATTGCTGTTGGACTTCAACTCCGTCAGCGTGACCAATGGTCAGCGATGATGAAAGCTGTAGTCCAATGACACATGGAAGGGTATCAGTTCTCTAGCCCTCCTACAGATTGTGAATGATACATCTGAGTGGCTTTAGTCAGAAGTTATAGACCGCAACATTTTCTCATCTAGGTCTTCCCTTTAGTAGATTATTTGTGGGTACCAGTCAGGTCCCATTGTGCTGCTTTTTCACTTCACTGGGTGGGAACTGTAGTCTTAAGAATTGCCTAGTGTAAATCCTCTGGTTCCGAGTCTCACTGAAAGAAAATTCAGCTGAAATGCCGGTATCAAAGCAAAGCACGCTTAGCACCTGAACCGAGTACAAGGTGGTTCATCTCCTGAACTCTTTTAAATGCAGCGTTTTATTCTACTCTCTATGGCATAATCTTCTTCAAACTACCCACTGTGTGCAATGCTGCTGAGAAAAGAGAGCCTGGTCTTCCAGCCTCAGAGCAACCCTTCCAAAATCACAGCCGGCACAAACTTTTGAAAGAGACAAAGTAGGGGACGGGAAAGGAGGAATAACAGGAGTGACTTAGAACTATTTCCAGCTAGGCTGTTCCAAGTGCTGATAGAAAAAGACTTTGTGGATAGCTGGGCTGTGAAAATGTGCTCTGTCTCACCTGCCTCAGAACCCAGCAGATCTCTCCACGATGTGCAAGGACTGTATTGTACTTCAACCAAAGTGGTGTGCCGCATTGAGCACACACACACACACACACAACAATATCACATTATATCACTGGGATAAATGAAAAAGGGAATAGATAGAAGAGGTAAAGAACAAGAGAACAAAATGAAATGAGATGGTGAGAAAGAGAGAGAAGCAGGAAAAGCTGGAGAGGGAATATAATAATGTCTGTGGCATTGTTAGGCAGACACCAGGCATTCATGTCTCCAGCTAACATCCATAGGGTGTGTTCCAAAGGATTCCATCTCACAGTGTGGCATTTTAGCATCCTTTTAAAAGAAAGGCTCCCTGTGACAAGATAAAATTGCAGGAAAATGGAACAAGCTATGTGTGTGTGTGTGTGGAGAAATTCATTTGGCTGATTCCTAGCATGTTCTTCAATCAATCATCAATACCAGGATGAGTTCCATCATAACAGGAATAAAACAATCAAATGTACCAAAATCATTTTTTTTAAAAATGAAAACTATGATATAAACATTTTAAGTCAGTGCTTTTCTTTTTCTTCTGGTAAAAAATGAGGTGCTGGTACTCATTATTTGATAGAAGTGCCATTGGTGCCAGTAGAAAATGGCTGACATGAGCAGCAGAAAAAGAGGCACCTATACTCTCTAGTAATGCAGATACCTACAGAACTCCCCCAAGTAGGACCCAGGCGCAACAAGGCTCTTTCCACTTGCAATTCCCAGCAGCTGTTCTCCAAGCTCCACCCAGCTGCCTCTCAGAGGGAAGGCATTCCACAGGCACACTGCTGCCACAGAGAGGGCCCTTGTCTTTAATGAAAAACAAGCCCAATGCATTACTTTAGGCAGGGCACTCTACAGCGTTCCCCCCCCCCAAACTGCCCTGGGTAGAACAGCCTTCTCCAACCAGGTGTCCCAAAGAAGGACTAAAACTCCCAACAGCTTCAGCTTAGTGTGGCTGATGGGAGTTATAGTCCCAAACCTCTGCTGGGCAGCAGGTTTAGGAGGCTGCCACAGAACGGTGTAATGGCAGAGCTTATAATTCAGATATAAGGAAGTTAGTCATTTGAGGATTTGCCTTAAGGCATCTTCCTCTCAGTGTGTGATGGTGAGGGGACACGAACCTGCCTCTCTCTGTGGTGATTTTCTTCCCTTCATTATCCATCAGAAGGAAACTGGGAGTGAAGAAAAACTTTTGTTTGTCCCCTGCTGGCCCCAGAGAAGGAAACTTTTTGCTCGCTTCTTCTGCGGGTGGCGGCAGGGCAGATATGAACTTGCAGGAGAGGGAGGCATCAGTGCAGACTTTTGCCTCCTTTGGCAAAAAAATTGTAGATCCAGCACTGGGGAAAAAAATCTGAGATTGGAAGCACAGACCCAATAAATACCTTACTCCAAAGGCCATCTCACTGTGTTCAGCGGGGCAGGGGTGGGATTGAGGGTCCTCCTGAACTGGCACTGGCTGCTGCCGGGTTACAATAAAACTAACTCACTGGCAAAGTGGAATATGCCAAGAGAAGGGTGAAAAGGGATTGCAAGACCTGTGAGGAAAGGTTGAAGAAGCTGGGTTTGTTTAGCCTGGACATAAAATGGTGAAAAGAAGCAAGTTGCAAAGAGAAAATACTGAAGGAAAAGTATTCCTCCCATTCTTGCCTCACAGGTGTGTGTGTGTGTGTGTGTGTGTTTTAAATAAATAAAGTCTTTAGGAGGGGTAGAAGCTTTACTGAGTCCCAAGTGGGGTGTCAGTTTAAAATAATCTTTAATTATTTGCTACGGAAGATAAAGATGCACCCAAACTGAATTCTGGACTGGTTGAAAACCTGATTTTGCTATTGCTAAATTAATTAGAAGTGAAAGAAAGAAGAGAGGTGAATTTCATCATCATCATCTGAAAAATACATGTTATCATAGATTCATCCCCCCCCCCTCTGTCCATGAGCTGATGTACATTTGCAGGCAACAAAATAAAAGAAATTTGTCAGACTTCAGGTTACCCTGCTCTTGGAACACGTAATAGCAAGGCAAAAATTTAAACCTCCCCCCACATGGCCCAAAGCAAATTGGCCATTTTCATCTGACGACGCGGCACGAACAGCTTCTCTCAATCACATATAATCATTCAGAGCTGTGGTTTTTCGAGAGGAGCAGAGGGAGACACTACATATGCCATTCTGAAAATGACCTTACAATCATACCCACCTCAATTATTGTTGAAAGAGTTAGGGTTTATTGTTTTTCGTTTTCAAAAGGATTTATCTTAAAGCTCATGTGTGTGTGTTTCCCTTTTGCACTTTTCAGAGTACTTCTGCTTTTCTTGTTGTTTACCTGCACTTAGATGGGCATGATTTACACGAAGTAAAGAATGAAAATCTGTGGAAGTGATGAGATGTTTCAGGCCCTGCCTGAAAGAGATGAATCTTTCCCAAAATGTTCCGGGGTGTACCTTCCTGGTGTTGGTTCCAGTCAGAGGTGATGGAGGTGTAAGTGTTCTGAGTCTGGAACAACACTCGCGATGGGAGGCCCCTTCAGCCTCTCCTGGATGCAGCCATGAACTGAGTTCCTTCTTCCCTTTTCCCTTCGGACTTTCGGCCGATCCTGTTGATTCCATGCTGGCACAGCATCTGGCTTTTTAAAAAACCCAATTCAAACCCTGACAGTGATTCATTAGGGCTCAGGAAGATGGTTATAATAATGCAGATAATTTGCTTCTTTAAGATGCAGCTAATGCAAAAATTAGCCCTGATGAAATGAGGACATGCACACCAGGCATTTGAATCCGCTTGAGCCATCTACTTAATTCTGAGCAATTCTGTTGCTCATTGAGCCAGATTAACTGAGCACAAATGCCAAAGTCAGAGGGCCAGAGGAAGTAATTTCAACTTCTGAACATGTTAGCCTGCGGCAATTGTTTTAATGGATAAGGTGGGGGGGGGCACGGGCGGACAAGGCCATTTTCCTCAACCAGGACCAACCAGCCCCAGGTGTCAGGTGTTGGACAGGCAGAGACACTTCTGGATCAGCTGTGTGACCAGGTTTCCCACGGGCAACTAGATCATCCAACTAATCCCTAAATAAAAGGAGGATTGAAGTCACTGGCCATCAGCTGAATTCAATTGCACAGTTGATCTTGGCAGAAAGCAGCTTTGCCAGCCCTATGCTTTGCACTTTGCTGAGCTGGCCAAACCCCATCAGCAGCCAAACTGTCCAGAAAGCCGCTTTGAAATCACTGCCCATCAGCTGATGAGTGGCAAGTTCCACTCTGCTGGACCAGCTGTACATCAGAATTCTCTGTGAGCAGTTCAATAGGGCAGCTGATCTCTGCAGAAGGCAGCTTTGACGTCTCTACACTCGACACGTTGCCTAGCGTAGGTCCTGCAAATCATCATTATTAATTAATTTTCTATACCATGCTTCATCCATGGATTTACAATATAAAAACACACAAATACCTAACATAGACCCTGTTCCCCCGTACACAATTTAAAAGGCCATCAATTGTTTAATTAGCCAAATGCCTGGGAGAAGAGGAATCTTTTTGCCTGGCACAAAAAAGATACGTAATGAAGGCTCCCTGGGGATAGCATTCCTCAAGCAGGGAGCCACCACAGAAAAGGCCCCTTCTCATGTGGAGGAGGCACACAAAGAAGGACCTCCGATGATGATTGCAGGATCCTGGTTGGTTCATATGGGGTGAGGTGGTCCTTGAGGTATTGTGGTCCTGAACCTTTAAGGTTTTATAAATCAAAACCAGCACTTTGAAGTGGCATGCTGAAGTAGCTCGACCGAATATGTGGCGCAGTGGATTATATGCTCCAACCATCTTGCCCCACCCTCGGGAAATGACCATCCGCATAAGAATGGAAGCACTGGAAAGTGATCCCACCCACCCTTAACTCGGACGGCCACTCTAGAAGGATACCGTTGTTGATGGTATCGAGAAACGCTGAGGAGAATTAACAAGGTCACATCCCCCCCTCTCTCCCGACAGAGGTCAACATACAGGGCAACCAAAGCAGTTTCTGTGGGAAAAGTGAGCCTAAACCCCAGTTGCAGTGGCTCTAGAAAGCAAGTTTCCTCCAAGAGCGCCTGGATCTGGTCCACAACTACCTGCTTAAGAGCCTTGCCCAAGAAGGGGAGGTTGGCAACTGGCTCCAAGGTGGAAACTCACCAGTCTGAACCAGTACTTTTTTTTCTGGGGGGAGGCAGGGGTACGCATATCCCTAAACATTTTGTGAATCTAGGTTTGGCTTCATTGAGGGGCAGTATTTCAATATAAGTAGGAAAATTAGAGTCCCTCCATACATTTTTTTTAAAGGAAAAAAGCACTGGTCTGAAAAATTATTCAGAAGAGCATGCAGATTCCAACTCATCAGTTGGGTAATGCTGGTTAAATATAGGCCTTTTGTTTTAAAGATGTGTATAGATTTTGAGCACTGTAACGTGAGAGAGTAAAACAAAATTATAGCCTTAGTGCTGTAATGTTGCCTGCAACAAAATCCAAATCATCACCACTGCCCAATAGACCTGATCAACATATGTTCTTGTGTATGTGCTTTTCACAGAATTATGGCCAAATACACTGGCTGCCACACAATGCCAATCAATATTAAGGCCCTAAAATAAACCAGTTCCCAGAAAAAGGACTTTGCAAACAGCTTGAATATATATATGTATAGTGGGGGTGGTTCTCCAAATTCTACAGTTCAAAGAAAGATATTTCTACTGACAGTTCTGCTAGCTTGAAGAAAGAACCGCAAAAAAAGTTTTGGCAGCAGTTGAATCATTTGGCTTACCTTAAACATACCAGCCAGTGTTGGCAGCTGAGGACCATGGAGCAACTCAGCGGTCAAGCTAATTCACAGAGGTGATGTTATTTCTATTGTTACATAATAATAATAATAGAGAACCAGTGAAAAGAAGTTGAAATGAGCCACAGCTCAATTTTAAGCCAGCAGGCAAACACACCAAAGAAATTGCAACAACAAAAAGCAACCACATAGTGCCTCTTCCTAAGCACATTCACTCAGAAGTAGATATGACGAGAATTCCCCTGTCCTTTTCGTCCTTCGCTCCGTTAGTGGTGTAAAAAGTAAAGGTAAAGGGCCCCCTGACCATTAGGTCCAGTCATGACCGACTCTGGGGTTGTGGCACTCATCTCACTTTATTGGCCAAGGGAGCCGGCTTCCGGGTCATGTGGCCAGCATGACTAAGCCGCTTCTGGCGAACCAGAGCAGCACATGGAAACGCCATTTAACTTCCCGCTGGAGGGGTACCTATTTATCTACTTGCACTTTGACGTGCTTTCAAACTGCTATGTTGGCAGGAGCAGGGACTGAGCAACAGGAGCTCACCCTGTCACGGGGATTCAAACCACCGACCTTCTGATCGGTAAGTCCTAGGCTCTGTGGTTTTAACACACAGTGCCACTTGCGTCCCCCATTAGTGGTGTAGTAGAAGGGAAGATTAATGGGGTGGGGGTGTTAGCTCCAAGACATTCCCAAGTCCTACCAGGGGATGCCAGGAATTGAACATGGGGCCTTTTGCATGCAAAACAGATGCTCTGTCACTACGCTAAGGCCCTTCCCCTATTGTTCCCATGAACTTTATGGAAGCTTTTTCATTGAGGGGAAAACGTCCAAGATTCTCAATAAAAACTGATTAGGGCATTATTTTTTTCCTGCTGCAGCACACCTAAGTTTTTACAGCCCCAAGCAACTCTCTTAGTGAAATAGAGTTAAATTCAGGAACCCCCCTTCATTCTTTCTACTCACTTGCAAGAGATGGGCAGCCGATCTGAATCTATGTGCCTCCTTTGCCTAACAGCTGTGCCACTAATGTGATGCTCTCCTCCTGCCTTTATTCCGAAGCGAGTTTCATCTAAATTAGGCCAGTAATCCTTAAGGAAAGGCTACAAAGTAAGTCTGTAGTATTCCCACGACGACAGATGCTGAAGTAGCTCAACCAAATGTGTGGTGCAGTGGAAGTGGAAAAACAGGAACATTCCAGTTCGTAAGTCACACGCTGAACCAATATGCTACTCTGGCAAACCCAATCAACACATGGACTGGCATGGAAGAATGTTATAGGATGACAGGGGTGCCAACTTGAATAAAATACTGGGGATGGGGCAGGTAAGCCTTGCCCCACATAATTGATCACAAGACGTGGCGGATACCATTTGCATGGCAATGCCCATTAACTGGGGGGGGGGTGGCTGGCCCCCTCAAATATATTTGGGGGGGGGCAAAGGGACCTCAGTCCCTAGGAGTTTGCTCCTATGTAGGCTGATGTCTTTTCCATCAACCCCAGCCAGCATAGTAAATGATCAGAGGTGATGTAGTCAAATCTCTATAGGCCCACAGCTTCCCCACACCTGCTGTAAAGAGATATACAACAAAGCTAAGAAACATAAAGCAGATGTTATTGCAGATTTGACCACACACACACACACACACACACACACACACGTACGTGTCTTGTAGCCCAGTAAACCTGGTATTTGGTTAGTGATTTGATGTCTGCTTCTGCCAAAATCTAACTCTTAAATATTCCCATATGCTGCTGTTTACAACCTGTTGATAAGCTGTGTCCCTAGAGAGTCCCCTAGCTATGAAAAACAGCATTATTACTTGCATGAAGAGGAATATTAATGCACATTGTTGTTGTTACTATTCAGTGGCCCACAGCAGTTTAATAAATGCTTTCTCCTTTATAGAAATTGATAACAGGTACCACATTATATTGAAACAAGCACTGCTATAAGAAAAAGTGCTGCCTTCTTGATACAAACAGGAATACAATTGCAGTATGCAATGACCCAAGAAAGTGAATTATTTCAAGCATCGCTCAATGTGAGCAGTAGCCCTCAACGTACATAAAAGCACAGACAGATGTCCATCTCTAATGGCAACATTAATATCCAGAGGTCCAAATTCAAGGCAAACTTTATTTTTCACAGATCCAATCATTATTTTGTTTCCTTTCTTTGGTTCAGTTGTTCGCTCTGCGTGAAATGCATTGTGCTGGAGCTGAGAAAAAGAATCTGCTTTGTGAGGGCAATTTTGCCAAGAGAAAGTGAGGTCTATTCCTCACTAGTCACTTTCTTCCTTGAATTCCAGATAAATGTGGATGGATTCACCAAAGCTCAGCTTCACCTCCTGTATGAATTCTTCACATGGCGATTGAATAGATGAAGATGGCAGAGCTCAAAATCATTGCCCACAGAAGTTTTAATATGAGGATGGATAATTTTTTTAAATATATTGAGTCTCAATATATATATATATATGCTGCTGAAAAGAGTTATCTCCTAAGAAGTAGAGTTTCCTAGGGAGCATAAAGTAATGCTTGGAATATCTTTCTTGAAATTCTATTACTGAGCGGGATCCTGGGATCTCACACACCCTGGAGTGTCAGCAATGCCGTTTTGATGGTGGAATGACAACCCCTTGGGATCCAGCTGGCATTGTCACCTTCCTTTTCTTCTAGGCATTTGAATAATCTGGGAACACGGATCTGTGCAATGGTATGGGGACAATGGATTGATTCTGTACTGTTCCAAGTATTGTTGTTTAAATGCCATTTATGTAATTTTAAATGCTGCACACACACACACACACACACACACACACACACACCCCTTTGAGATCATCCATGATGAAGGGTGGAAAAAAAGTAAGCTACTAGAAAGAGATTCCACAAGCCCATGCATTAGTGTACAATATTTATTACTTTCCCATAATTTGTGGTCAATTCCTTTGACAAGACAGATTTCATTCTGAAATGAACTTACATTTGCAAGGAAATAAAAAGGCAATGAGCTTAAACATTACAGTAATATTTTGCTGATGCACACTCTTAAAGGACATGCACAATTCATAATCTGAAGACTCTGAACAAAGTTCTCTTTATATGGGTTCATAACCGCCTTCTGAGCAAAGAAGGGTGAACTACTGAATTAGCAGCCCTTTTACAAAAAGACAAAAAAAAAACCCCACAAAAAACCACCAACTAAATATATTAATATCTCAGCTTGTTTCCTTCTAATTTTGATTAGCCATATAGTACACAATTAAGGAAAATATACAGCCAAAATGGTACAACGGTGCCTTCCTGACAACAGAAGAAACAGAAAAGACAGTATAAAAATTGCATTTGAAAAGCCCACCGCACTGATTCAAAGTGCCTTCAAAGTCAATAGGAATACGGCACACATTTTCCCCATTTAACCAAACTCCATCAGTAGTCCGTTAGAGATACCCTCGTTCTCTTCATTGGTTAAAAAAACAAAACAAAAACCCTGCAAGCTCTCTCCTATTATCTTTTAGGCCTATCAATGTCGTCAATAGCTGCTAACAGTTTTTGTCGTGCTTTTTTGTTGATGTGGGTCCCCAGACAAACATTCACCAGATTAGTCAACTGCTTGGCAGAATACTCCTGGGCAAAGAAAGCAAATCACATTTTAGTTTCAAGCAAGCGGAATGACACTGCCCAGAAAATAAGAAACGTATTGCTAAAAGAAAAAGAAAAGGAAGAAAATACACCAAGGCAGAACCTGTCACTTTCTGGAGAAATATTCAAAGCCACACATGTGGCTATTATTTGTGGTTGTGAAGCTTAGAAGGGTGTTTTGCAACAAGTACGGCAGATTATCACGGGGAAATGCTTACAGTTTTAGTCAAGCGTTGGATGGGATGCAGTTCTGTGAATATTTAAACATCTTAAGGCACTTAAAATTTATTTTCCATTCTTCGGGGAAAAATATGCGAAACTGGCTAAGACTGAAAACAACCATGAAAGCAGATACTAAGAAAACAACACTGTTTCGGCAAATCTGTTTTTAGTGCTTCTGCTCACAGTTCCAATTTAGCTTTACCTAAAAGGATTTGAGGGGGGGAATTCAGCAATATTGTACCTGATCAAAAGATGAACACATTTCTTAAATAGTGTTTTAAGAAGGATAATTGTTAACTCTTACAAAAACACAGAAATGTGCCAGGGCACAGCTGCCTGTTTAAACAGAGCTCTCTCTTGCTTTAGACACTGCCAGAACATTTGAGTGATTATTTAACAGAGGTAAAGCTTTTAACATTTCTCTTGGGTAAGGGAGAAGGGTGGAAATGCTCTCAAAGTGGGTTTACGCTCATCCAAGAAAAGTAAATGTCTAGCCAGATTGAGAGCAATCCAGGATTACTGACTCAGTGCAACATTTGCAAGTTTTTAAAAATAATAATAATAAAAATGCAACCATGCACCGTTCCAACCAATGTATGGTGAGAATAACTAGGATTCTAACTTCACTGTTTAGAAGCTGCAATAGTCTCAGAATGAGGAGTGTACAAAAATAGCACTTTTAAAAAAGGCTCACATTTAGCAGAGCTATGTAAGTTCCAATGCAGACTATTTGGATGGATAAAGAGGCTGAAACAAGATTTGTGGAAGAAGTCGCTGAGAGTTAGGTAGGGAGTTATTATCCAATGTTAAAAGAAAATAATCTGCCAATACATTTTTCCCCCCTTTTGCTCTGGATGATTAATTGGTGACCTTTGGTGGGTTTGCGCACTGTGTGCCTCAGATGTCTCGTTGAGTGAGAAAAGTTAAGCACAGCTCTGACACATCCAATTCACTTTGTTTCCAGGTTTCCTTTGGTGCAAGCATATGGACTCCTTCCCAGCCTATTACCACCCAGAATCTCTTACGAGCTCACAGCTATTGTGCTACAATTATAGTGCATCATCAATAGAGCATAACATGATTGGGACTCATTTAAGTCTACTTAGGCCAGCCTTGGACAACCTAGCATATAGATATGGAAGCGATTGTTCCAGTTTTTGAACATTCTTTCAGAAGCTGGACGTCCGACAGGGCTTCCGCAGCTTCCGATTGGCTGCAGGAGCTTCCTGCAGCCAATCAGAAGCCGTGGTTTGGAAGTCAAACATTTAGGAAGTCGAACAGACTTCCAGAAAAGATTCTGTTCAACTTCCAAGGTAGGACTGCATTAGAGCACCCAAAGAACTTAACAGCCGTGGCATCATGGATATTGTTTAGATCTGATAAATCCTAAACCTACAAGTAACAGAAGAGAGATTGCTTTTTATGGAAGGTACTTGGAGAACGTTTTAGTCCCTTAATTTATTCAGTACTGCATTTACATACCACCCATGTAATTAAGTTCCCAGGGCAGTTTATGAATCTACAGGCTTACAGTGATCTATTCTAACTTTCATGATTTTAAAATAAATTGATTTAATAGTTTAATATCTATAAGCTTTCATGTGTATAGTAAAACAAGGTATAAAAATAGTTATAGGATAAATAACCAGAAAATGAGAAAGCAGTTGTTTTTCTGACTGATGTATTATTCTCATTGCTTTCTTATACAACAACGCCAAAGTTATGGGTCAATTCCTTAATGATGCAACCAACCGCAGAAATAATCAAGAACTGTTCCTAATGGGCCTTCTAAACTTAGTATATTAAGCAGAAAGGAAGCAGTACAGGGAACAGACTGTTACAGAATGGAAAAGCACCAATCAAAAAGAAAGGGAAAAACACAGAAGCCAGGATAGGGGGTGGGGGGAGAGACACGCACCTCCATTATGCTAGGAAAATAGCTTCTTGAAATGAGCCCAACCCATTTCAGTTGTCAGACCCTTCTTTAGGGACTCATATCAGCCTGGGAGCCTATACTCTTCTGTAAAAGATTTAAACCCTATTTGGAAATCTTCCCTCTCATGTGATTACAAACACTGCCAAGAAAGTGCTGGGAAGTCGTCCCCCCCCAGCACATTTTTTCTAAACCAGGGATCCCCATATGATTTCCAACATTTGCTGTGACAAAAAGTAGAGGCTCCTAACTCCAATCAAATGCCCTTCAGCTCTCAATATGGGGCCTGTAATGCGCCGGAAAAGGGTGGGGCTTGCCAGTGTGCCCCCCTATTCTCCCTCATGTGATTGTAATGACATGAGGGAAATAAGCCAAGGGCTCCATTCAGCTGCAATATTCTCTCTCTCACGGGCCTTTTTATCATGGGGCAAGTGACTTCAGAGCAAGTGGATGGGGAGGAGAGCAAGTTTATCGCTTTCCTTGCCAGCCACCTGTGCTTAAATTACATGGCCTCCACTGTTGCCTCAAGGATATTCCCCACAATTCCTACCCAATGAGAGGAACTAAAAATCCATGTCTTACCCGGTGCTCCTTGATCCAGCGTTCCATGTCATTTTCAGTCAAATAATAAGCCTTGATGTAGGTTTCAACAAATTCCTTATCCGGAATAGGTCTAATATCCGTGAGTTTCTCCAGCTTCATTAAAAATTGCTGAAAGTCCAGTTGCATCAAGGCACGCCCCTCGTTGCTACACTTTTTGACATTTGCGTAACTAAGACAGACAAGCAACAGATAAGTGTGCAGTCGTGGTTGCGCGGTAACTACTCTGACGTCCTCATCTTTGTGGGCAAATTGCCGCAGAACGCAGTAAAGATATCAAGCTGCTATTGGAGACTGATGTATTTACAGAGGACTAAAGGGACAACTCTCACGTCACTTGTAAATACTCTTCTCTTGCCTTTCAAGATGGCAATTGGTTTGGAAATTGAATGGTCTGAATTTGAATCTAGGGAACAAGTATGGGGTGTACCTAAACAGCCAAAGGTGATATTAATACTTCTGTAGTGATAAATTAGAGGGACGCGGGTGGCGCTGTGGGTTAAACCACAGAGCCTAGGGCTTGCTGATCAGAAGGTTGGTGGTTCGAATCCCCGCGACGGGGTGAGCTCCCGTTGCTCAGTCCCTGCTCCTGCCAACATAGCAGTACAAAAGCACATCAAAGTGCAAGTAGATAAATAGGTACCACTTCGGCGGGAAGGTAAACGGCGTTTCCGTGCGCTGCTCTGGTTCGCCAGAAGTGGCTTAGTCATGCTGGCCACATGACCCAGAAGCTGTACACCGGCTCCCTTGGCCAATAAAGTGAGATGAGTGCCGCAACCCCAGAGTTGGCCACGACTGGACCTAATGGTCAGGGGTCCCTTTACCTTTACCTTTAGTGATAAATTCTCTTGGTTAAATTGATGTTGGAAGGGCTGTAGCTTAGTGGGAGAGCATCTGCCTTGGTTGCAGACATTCCCAAGTGAACCCCTGGCATCCCCAGGTAGGGCTGGGAATGGTGCTGTCAGAAACCCTGGAGAGCCACTGATGGACTGAGCTAAATGGACCAATTGTTTGATTACTATGTTCCTAAGAACCTTGAGGTGCCGTAGCAGCGGTTCTGCCCAGTAACAAAGTGAGCAAGGAAAAGTTTCCCCTAATAAATAATATTGTTACACATGCACAGTGGCTCTGTGCTTAAGCTCAGTTCAAGGATTCGATTCCTCATGAATCCTATGCAAGGCAGCTCATGGACACATGTGGTGTGATCACTGCAGAACTTGAGATATAACCTGGAGACGATCTTCCTGAGGAATGCGGACCCTTGGCCCTCCAGATGTTGTTGGACTTCAACTCCCTTCATCCTTGACCACTGGCTATGCTGGCTGGATGTGATGAGAGTTAGAGATCCACAACATATAGGAGGCCTGAAGATTCCCCATCCTTGATCCAACTCAAGGCTAAAGCAGGGTCCACACAGTCCAAGCTTCTCTGATTAATTAGCTGACATAATCCAAATTTTAAGGTTTTACAAGAAAAGAGCAGGGTTGAACCATGTGCTACAAGGCAGGGAGAGGGACCCACAAAAAAATTAGAAAAGGTGTCATAATCCACTTACCCTTCTACAATAGTTCTGTTAGCTAGTCGTATACAATGCTCCCAAAGAATATTTGACACTGGCAATGGAATACGAACTCTCTTAGAAACCTCATTCAGCTGTCTGTTAAACTGTTCAAATTCCTAATAAAACATAAAGGGAATATTAGTCAGTGGTGGCAATACATACAAAACATACCTATCTAGACATGAAAGCTCATTTATATAGAGGGAGGAAAGGGAGGCACAAATCACAATGATACAAAATGGAGAGAAAATGGATTATACTTCATCGCATTTATGGTTATTATGAGGGTTGCCACTAAACTCCCCTATCATCTAAAATTCTATAGCTGAATTAGATGTGCTTTTGGAACACGGGGAATGTTCATAGAATGTTCATATGGCATGAATTGTGTTCACGCTGCTACTTTATCCTTGGTCAGCCCATTGGTCCAGCTAGGTCTGCTCTGATTGGCATAAGGCTTTGCAGGGTCTCAGGTAGGAGGTGGGTCTTTCATGTCACCTGATACTTTAACTGGTGATGCCAAGGATTGAATCTGGAGCTTTCTGCATGGAGGCTTACCTAACTCAACCTAGGCTAGTATGTGCTGATGCTTCTAGTGCACTCCAGGGCATGCCACCACTTTTCATATTGTAGCTTCCATAGTTTTGGAGCAATTAAATAGTCCAGCTGGGTGTGTGGCAAGAACCTGGTTTACACTGTACTACCCTGCACATATGTGGGAGTATCCTAGACCATACAGCTCATGGGATCTACAGCTCCAGTGATACTTCACAAGCATGGATATGGAGTATCCAATCCAGTAAATTCAACTTATTACTGAATCAGAATTGGCAAGATTTGTCCATCCCTAAAGAATACAAATATAAACTCATAAAATACACTACATGCAACACACACTAAACACATTTTTATTATAGTCGGCCTGCGGGAAGTGTGACTTACTAAGGAAAAAGTTAGTCTCAATTAAGGATTAAAACTGGGAAGAATTAGTACGGAATAGTAGCCTACAAATGGAATTCATAAAAATATATAATTTGGTGATTGGATAAAATTAATTCACATACAGTGGTGCCCCGCAAGACGAACGCCTCGCAAGACGGAAAACCCGCTAGACGAAAGGGTTTTCCGTTTTGGAGGCGCTTCGCAAAACGAATTTCCCTATGGGCTTCCTTCGCAAGACGAAAGCCCATAGGGAAATCTCCGGGACAGCGGGGAAGCGCAGCGCGTCTTCCCCACTGTCCTCGGACCTCCTCCGAAGGCTGGCGGTGGGGCGGAGAGACCTTCTCCCCACGCCAGCCTTCGGATAGCTGTCCTGAAGACTTGCGGTGGGAGGAGGGTTTTCCTTCCCACCGCCAACATTCAGAATGCTGTTCTGAATGTTGGCGGTGGGGAGGAAAAACCCTCCTCCCACCGCAAGCCCCGGGAACAGAGGAGAAGCGCTGCGCCCCTTCCCCTCTATTCCCGTACCTGTCCTGAAGGCTTGCGGTGGGGAGAAAAGCCCTTCTCCGCACCGCCAGCCTGGCAAGCGGTTTCCATAGGAACGCATTAATTGATTTTCAATGCATTCCTATGGGAAACCATGCTTCGCAAGACGAAAAACTCGCAAGAAGAAAAAACTTGCGGAACGAATTAATTTCGTCTTGCGAGGCACCACTGTATCCCCAAGTCTGTTATTCTTGTCCAGGAAATGTAAGGACAACAGAAGACAAAGGCTACCATCCTAGGCACACTCACTTGGCAGTAAAGTGGGACTTACTTCTGCTTATGATTGTACCAGTGAAGGACTAACGCTTACAGGTAAGTCTGGGAACACTGATAGTCTTTAACAGATAGACATAAAACTCATAATGGAAACGAAAAGAGGGAAGGTAATTGCAGACGATTACTCCTCAAGGTCAATCTGACCAGATTCTGGCACCATCAACAATTAATTAAATTAAGCTTGGCTTTCCTTCTATATTTGTGGTCTCTTGTGACAGGCTTTTCATATTTCCAGCTAAGAGAGTCCCATAATGCTCTTTGTTAATGATATATCCCAACTCACGACCCGAATTGAACTCCAGCAGGTCTCCTACTCTCACTGCTGGCATGCTACCCACAAGTCTTCAGCTTTAATAATGGGAAAACAAATATTTTTAGCTCTAGCAACGCCAACAAAAAATTGGTTAGAGCAAAACATCCAGCTGAGAATGTGTTGCACGGGATATATAAGAAGGCACCAACAGAAATGATTTCTGTCTTTGTTAGGTCATTAAAATGCAATGCAAGAAAAGAGATACTCACCTTTAAAAGAGAATCTACATAAATGTTGTGTTGTGACATGATTTCTTTCACATCCCATTTCACATTTGCCATTAGCAGCAGCATCTGTTCGTAATCAATTGCTTTAGCAGCTACAATCCAGTATATAGGCTTACGGAGTTCACTGGCTGTTGAAACCGTCTGGAACGCAAGGAGAATCTGGTGTAATTAACAGCGTTTTCTTCCTATGGTACAGGAAAACTTCAGATGAACTGCACGACACATCACTGTGTCATGCAGGCGATATAGCCATTCAGGAGAAATCAATGAATTCCACCCTTAACAAATAAAAACAGTGGATGTGTGCAGAATCCTGACCTGCGAATAGAACTGCTGAAGAAAAGGTTTCTTGGCTGGAGGCATTACAGCATCAAGATGAGACTGGAGGAACTCAAACTGCTCAGCTAAAAACACTCTGAGAAACAAAAGAGAAAAATCCATTGTGACCAAAGTACAAATATTAGAAAAAAGTTGTATTGCCTCCGGAAGATAATACAAGAGCCTTTTGGACCAGATCCCTGTCTACGTCGTATCCTGCAGATGCAACTCCCAATATTTTTTGTGATGACTTCTAGCTTTAACGGCTTTAAAAGGGAATTAGTCAAATTCATGAAGCATATGCCGACCAGTGGCTATTAGTCATGATGGCCATATGAACACCCCCCACCCAGCTTCAGTGATAATATGCTTCCAAATAGTAATTGCTAGGGAACAACAGCAAGAGAGGCCTTCTGCGTCCTGCACGCGGCTATCTCTTAAGGACCTGGTTTGCCCCTGACGCAAAGAGGATGCTAGACTAGGGAGGCCTAGGCTAGGGAGCTCATTTTTTTTAGCTCTTGCTCACTAATTTTACGAACCACATATCTCTGTAAGAAATCTCCCAATGGCGCCAACGCTTTGTCTCTGTTACAAAGTGTTAACAAATTATTTCTGAATTAAAATGCTCTGTTTGCTATGAGCACGAACACAGACAAAAATGTAAACAACAGAACATGGTGAAACAAAGCAGTTGGCAACGCAACCAGGCAACTGAATATAGCTGGAGAAGTTCAGGCGAGTATGTTGTCTGATATGGAGTGGCTCTCAGGAGGCTGCGGTCCAGCGCTACCCAGTGGGCCAAAAGAGTTGATCTAATATTGATCTTAAAAACAAGATACATTTTTAAGTCAAAAGGATGCAGAAAAGCTGGGAATGCATCCATTTTAAGCATTGCCACAGACAGAGAAATATGGAATTCAGGATATATTAGTATAGTCTGAACCATGAATCCCTCGTTTAACCCCAAGCAATTTATGCTGTTATCATGCACAAAGCGTCATAGCCAATGACAGAAAGCTAATACCACGAAGACCCCACTTGAAGTGGTTCAACAATCGGAGGATGAATCTAAAAACTAATCTGCAAGTGTCCATCGTAATAATTAGAAAGAAACACGGTTTGACAGTCAACGCACAAGGATTCTGTGGCGACCACTCTCTCTGCCAAGCCATATAAAGTGCTGCCTGATGTCAAGACGACAAGGTGGCTGAGATGGGGGGTTGGAACCTTTTCCTTTCTTTCTTCAACAGCAGTCAGCGCTCCAGCAGCATCAGAGGAGACCTCCTGCAGGGGGTATGGGGGAAAGAGGGAGGGAGGGAGGAAGGAAGGAAAGCAAGGAAGACAGGCATCAGAGTTATTGAAACATGATGAACACAACCTAAGGTATTCAGGAAATGGAAACTGGCACGTCTCGTTTCTATCTAGCTGAAGCACAGGGTCCTCTGGGGACTAAACCACACTATTGCTGAAATTTAAGAATCCAGGAGGCAGATAATCTGACCACAAGAACCCACACACTTCAATGGGCTTCTAAAGGCCGGGAAGCCTGAGATTTGAGAAGCATAATTAATAAGACAGCTCTTTGTCCTCAAGGGTAGCAAAATTAACGTGTTCATTCAGGAACTTTATACTACTCACCTTCAACCCTGCAGCTGTTTTGTGGATAATCGAGGAATCCATTTACTAAGCTATGATTTTGTTAAATCTCGCAAACACTGCATATATACACAAAAATGTGGGGGTTTTGGGGGGTGTTTTTTAAAGCAATGGCCTTCTGGCTTTATTCAGCAGGGAAGTCTGTTTCTGATGAAGCCTCGCCTTCATGTTATTCAAATGACTACCTAGAAGAGAAACCTGACTGGAATGCATTCATCCCTCACAGCGGAAGAGATTCATCATGTACGAGAATTCTCTGTGGGTTTCTCCTTGCTCCAAGCAAATAAAATGCACAAAGTTTTAGGAAAGAATCAATTACTATAAGTAAGTGATATGAAACCACCAAGATTAGAGGGAAGAGAAACATAGGCAACAAATAAATAATGCTCTCTCGCAGTATTTGGAACAGGGATATATAACCCAAAAATTAATCTGAATGATTTACAGCATAGTAAGTTTTGATAAAGTCATTTTCTGTCCACATCCACAATAAAATGGAAACCTAGATCATATTTAAAGCTCCAAGAGGGACTATTTTCTAGATACACTACTGGATAGCAGGTGTCAAGCAGATACATATTTCAACCACTATTTTGATTATACAGAATGACTGAGGCTGGGATTCAAATGGCTGTTTAAAGTTACAATTGCCTGCACTAGCTCAATGGGTTTCTTTTTAAAACAAACAAACAACAACAACGTTTTCTTTGGACAGCTCATTCTTTGGACTATACTTCAAACTCCCATTGAATTTCTACAGTGAAATACATCGATGAATGGAGGATATAGCCGCTCAGTGCTTTTTTTCTAAAATAATGTTTATGGGTACTCTCACTTTGACTCAAGAAAACCACCATTTTATAGTTCAAATTGGGAAAAATAAATACAGTAAATGGACAAAAGTACAAAGATTCACAAAATGTTTAGGTGTATGCGTACCTGTGTCCGTCCCCCCCAGAAAAAAGCATTGTAGCCGCTACTTATTTGTGTGGTCACCTGTGAGTTATTTCACTTTGTCATGTGTGAGAATGTGATCAGAGTTTCACCAAGTGGCCAATCTACTAACCACATTTCAAAAACAGGGATAAAGTGCCAGCGACATTTGGGAACCCTACAGGGAGAGGCAGAGTGATTGTAAAAATGGAAGAGGTGAGATCTTATTCCCAATGCTGCCTATGGATGGCATAGTTCTAACAGCTGAATATTAGTGCCACTTAGCAAGCGATGGCATATGCTAGTGCAAAACTTAAGACACCAAGTACTAAAACACAGGGATACGCTCTAGCATCAATGAAGTGAAATCTTGCAAACCAAGCAAAACTCTGCAGATTTGCAACAACAATAAATGGACCTGAAGATCTAAATGTTTTTAACATCCAGACTTTTCTTCGGTCATAAAATATGTGCACCTTCTCTTAACAACTGCACTTTGTCAAAGTATTTATATTACAGCAAGCACCTCATCAAATGCATTGCTGTGTTGTCTCCCCTGAACATTAAAAAGATGGAAAGCTGTGCCCTATAAAAACAACATTAAAGAATAAGACATCAAGAGTTTGCAAGGAGAATAACAAACAAACAAGGTGTTTGGGTCAAAGGGGTTGTTACTGTGGAGAAGGGACCAAGCAGTTTGAGCTCAAAGACAACTCTGTCTATTCCACATCAGTAAACTTTTAAGCCAGAAACCTATTTATATATTAAAAGTGAAATGTGGTTCATGAGTGAAACACCTTTTGAGTGAGCAACAAATCACAGCACAATAATTTTTTGACTGCTAATGCATAACAAAAGCATTTAAAAAGAAAAATTGAAAATCCATTATGAAACAAAGAAACAGAAGATTGAAATTCTTTAAAAAAACCAATTTCTTTGATATGATTCTCCATGACCAGAATTACAATTTTGACCTTCAATCTATTGGCTGCTTCAAATTACACTGAGGAAGAAGTGTGTGATGACTGGAATAATGTATTAAAACGAAAATTTAAAGTGGGCCATTTTTACCTGTGGCAAATTCAGATGCTGCAAGTGGGACTGTTCCAAATGGCAGTGTGGGCTACTTTCTTACCCCCCACCCCTCACAACAGAGACTGTAGCATGTGCTTGGATTGTGGAAAAGAATTGGCATGTTAGCCTTTCCTACCAACTTCACCCAACTCCTCTCAATTTGCATTGCAGGGCCATCTCGAGTGTCCCACTGTCATATACAAACTTCTTTTGTTAATATTTGATTTTACTAAGGTATCTTCCATTAGAAACCCAAAAGGATTCTTGAGACACCTCCAATTTTCCCTGTTTGACCCACCTATCTCAGGAACCTAGGAAGCTGCCTTACAGCTGTATATTTAGTTGATATACTGATTGGAAGCGGCTCTCCAGAATTTCATTAAGGGTTGCTTCCTAGTCCTATCTGGAATTGACCCTAGGACCTTCTGCATAAAAAAGATGTTCTACCACTAAGTCTATGGTCCTTTTCCTAAACTCTGAAACTTTATATCAGAATGAGTAGCTCAATCTTGCTGTTGTCGGCATCTGTCTGTCTCGAGAGACAATGGAGGGCACCTCCAGAGGTGAAGTCTAACAGATGTTAGCAGCACCAAAGTGACCTTCCGAGGGCGCAAGCGTGGGCAGTGTGCATGGAGGTCCTCTTGGCCTCACTGATGTGGTCCAAAGGAAGCAGAGCAATATGTTTGGCACCAGCTGGGCTGCAGGAGTTACCAGAAGGAGGTGTACAAGGCACCATCCATCCGGGTTTGAGAAGGGTTTACGCCTGAGTCTTTTCTTCTCCCGAAGATATCCCACAACCATTTTGTCTCTGGGAATTGGCCACAATTCAGCGGAGAATTGTCAGCTACTAAGATGACTTCAAGGTCTGCCTAGCTTCTTTGAGATGCCTTTGTCTTCTTGCCTGTGTTGTCCATGGGAAAGGACTTGCTAGAGCACAACAGGCAATGTTCAATGATTTCCCAGGAAGGTTCTCTTGGGCTGCATTGATAGGAAAGCCAAGAATCTCCCTCCCCCTCTCTGCAGGGCCTTTCCTTGCATCAGGGGCTGCTCTGAATGAGGCTCTGCTACCCAGAGAAATGCCAACTTTGCTGCTCCTGTCCTAATTCACTGTTGGTGGGCAGAATGCAGGCACTACATCAGTTGAAGAGGCCCCATGCAGCGCAGAATGCCATTCATGCCACCCATGGCAGCAGGGGAGTCTATGAATAAAGAAGAGGTTGCATAGCATTCATGAAGACAGGGCTTTCAGTCTAACTATACAGGGACTGTGATAGAAAACAAACTTTCCAAAGGTCTGCTTTGCTTGGGGTACAGCAGTTTTGCAATTTTAAAGCCATAGATGAGTCAAGAAGACAGTGGCAAATAAACTACATTAAATCAGAGCACCCAACTGTTCGTGGATATTTTCACCAGCATTGAAAAGCCCCCCCCCCCCCCCGCTCTCAGTATTTTTTATGGCTGCATTGAAATGAGGCAAAAGTGTCCATCTATTGGGATTGAGGTTAATGGCTTTGTCTGTCTTCAGTGACATCAGCACGTAGCCGGATCTCATTGGCTATGTAGTGTCATGAAATCGTCCTATTTATGATGAGTTGAGATTAGGATTGCCCATGTGACTAACAGAAGGTGATGGCAATATGGTGTGTGGATGGGAGGAGTTGCCAGAATAGCAGCAGAGCAATGGGAGTGAAAAATATGGGGTGGGTGGGGGTAGAGGAGATTAACATCCACAGAATTTAGGATTCTTTCAAGAAGTATATTGGTCCTCTGAAAGCAAGCTTTTGACCCCCCCCCCAAACTGAAAGAGGAGAACATTCAGTACAGTCCAAACAAAGTGCTCCAAAGTGACAAATTGATTTGATATAGAGTAAAAAAAGAACAAAGGCAGGCTTCTAGCATCCAGAGACATAAAATTCCTGAACAAACATAACCCATTGACCCAATATGTCGAGGACATATACTGACTGCCTGACCCTTAATGACATTTTTCTTCTTTAGGGTATCGTACCATGCTTCTACAATACACTGAGAAAGGTTTTTACTTTTGAGATAGCAAAAAGCAAGTAGGCGTTGCAAAAAGCCTTTCATTATACAGCTAGCATTTGTGCCTTTAAAAAACACACACAAAAAATGAGGTGGGGGAGATTTTCTGTCTCAAGTGTTTCCCACTTTCAAAAGAGTGACATTTCCTTCTTTCATTTTCTCCTTCATTGAGCAGGAAAACAAGAAGGACCTTTGAGCAACTGTCAGGTTTACAGGTGCCATTCAGGTTGAAAAAGCATCAAGTCTCAGCAGCTTTTGTACTGTATCACTCCTTGTAATGAGAAAGGAAGTAGACAGATCATTGACTGGTACGTTACAAAGGCTTTTGGAGTATGCAATTTTCACCACTGGCCACAGGAACAAACTTGATGAAGAGCTCCTTTTCACATTTAGGGTATTTGTACTACACACACACACACACACACACACACAGAGAGAGAGAGAGAGAGAGAGAGAGAGAGAGAGAGAGATGCTCTCTTTTTCTTTTGGAAATAGGGCAGAATACGAATACTATGAATAAATAAATAAAAATAAAGAAATGCAGTGGAATACTTTATAGATGAGACTTCGCTAGGGAAGGATGAATCATTCTATTTCCATGTCACTTCTCCATGTGTTCACTCTGAAGTCTGTAGCAGTCTGTTTCTGCATTAATTAGCATTTTTCGAGAAAAAGAATCTACATGAAGATTTGTATTAAATGCATAGTTGTTAATATATTTTCTCTTAAAATGCATATTTTAAATGTATCTTCATAGGATTTGTATTTATTTTTAGTTGAGAATTGTTACAACATTCCAACCCACAGATTAGCCCAGGGGGCACATGCAAACCTAAGAAGAGACCTGCCGAATAAGACCAAAGGCCTATCTAGTCCAGCATCCTGTTCTCACAGGGGCCGACCAGATGGCTATATGAGAAGCCCACAAGAAGGACCTGAATGTAACAGCACACCAGGGGCAGATTTAGAGCTCT